AAATCTTTCCAACGTATAACGTTGCCTTCATGGCTTCTCATGTTTCTTTAATTCCTATTGGTTGATTCAAATGTTAACCGAACGTGTAGAAATGCTCACTAAAATTGTTGTAGATGATGCGCTTTAATCGGCAATGTTATTCAAGAAACCATAAAATTCTTCATTGGTCTCTATGTCTCTAAGTTACTTCAAGTAATTTATATTCGGCCGGAAATTACTGTTCTCGTTATTTTGTGTGTAAGGTAACGTAAGACCTCCAGCATAATGTAAATTATTCAATGCCATTCATCAATAAATACTCATTATACCTATTCATTGGACGCTTTTCTTTTGACATACATGAAATGGAAACATCATGGAAAGCAATGATACAAGTATATACCCATAAATAATCAGCACGAAAGCATTTTAAAAAATCCAGAATAAGGGAACTTACGATTTTATTTTAAAGCTAAAAAATCTTGTGTTAGGGAGTGACACTGACCCATATCCTAACTTAAAACTGATCCATAGCCCAGCTTAACACCGACCCATAACTCAACGCTCTGAACCATATCCCAACTTTAAATTGACCCATATCCCAACTTAAAACTGACCCATATCCCAACTTAACACTGACCCATATCCCAACTTAACACCTACCCATATTTCAACTGATTCACTCTGACTCCTTACGATTAATATATTAAGGTACGTACTTTTTCAGTGTTTCTAGATTTCCTCTTACTAGTACGGTCTGTCTTGGATGAGACCAATCACTATTTCAAAAGAGCTCAAAACTGGAAACTACCCGTAAATATGGGATTTGAAAATCTCACGCTGTGTCCTGGAGGCGAAGTTGCTTGAACTAGAAATCTCGGTTATATTTTGTACAACATTCCCTATATGCAAAATAATTCCATATTGCTGGGAAGAGTCATACTGACAACATTCTTAAGTACTTAACTATCATACAAATAAATGAACTTGAAAGACTGGAGGATGAAAAGAAAATCTGCACAAGCAAGAGAGAAAGAAAATAATCCAAAGTGACTTAAAGAAATAAAAGATTGTAATATTGCTAGTCCCGCGTATTCCTTGTAGTTCATAACAATTTCAAGCGAGTGTCATACTGCCAAAGTTTCCTGACATCTTATTGTTTCGTTAGCTTGTTGATTTTTTAGGGTGTAAAAGCTGCAACAATATTTCGCGATGAAGGGAAGTTTGAAAACAAGGCTGACTTTATCTTGTTTGCCAACATTCGGTGTTTCGGATGAAGTTTTCACTTTCGAGGTAGAACAAGGTTATATTGGTTACCGGTGTTCTGTTAGCAACACTTGCATTTTTCTATTTAGTTATGCCAAGTCAGTTAGTTATACGTGGCATGTGTATTGTTATATATTTCCACTCTGACTTGCCTTGGTTTATTTACGCCCGACGCCCAATGCACGTAAATCACCCCATATAATGTATATCGTATCTGATGCCACACACATAAATTACCTCCAACACCACGACCGTTAGTTCCAAAATGTCTTAACAAAAGACTATATAAAATTACAAAATCTCTTTCCCGCTCACTCCCTCTCAGATAATATGAGTATGGGTGGGGGGAGAGACGAACAGGTATCCCGATGTTGTGAGGTAGCAAACTCCTCTTCGTAGTAGGAAACAACTTACAAAGACCAACAACAAAGAAGTTGTGATTGTTTTGGATTTATCGCCATTGTTTTCAGCACATGATAGGCTATACATAGCGCTCTGTATATTTGGTGTAGGAAGGACCCGTTAAAAGAACTGTAGACAACCACCGACCCACGGGAAGCTAATGGGAAACTTTCTCACATAACCAAGCCTGAGGTTCGAACCCACGCAGCAGAGCTGAGATGTCGGTAATATGTTAACACGAGCGAATTAGACTACTCTGCCACCGGAGCAAACAAATAAAGATGTAACACCAAAAGTAATGAGAAAATCTTTGCATTTATTTGAAATTACGGGAAATTTAAAGAATTTAACAACATTCATACCATTCTTATGTTCGAGTTTGTTATTATTCTGTCCTTTTTCCAACTCTGTAGCTTTCGAACCTTTTCAATACATCTGTGACATTATCAACACACAAGTAGATAGAACGACAAATACAAAATTACAAACAGCTTGAACTAAGTAAGCTCTTCGTCAGGAGAACAAACAACGTTTTATTCACAAAAGAAACATTAAATACAGAAAAGATGAGAAATCATGAAATCTAGAATTTTAAATACTTTATTCTTTGAGTAGCATGGGGGAATCTACGACAGTAGTTCAAAAATGGAAGAAAGAAAGAAAGAAAGAAAGAAAGAAAGAAAGAAAGAAAGAAAGAAAGAAAGAAAGAAAGAAAGAATCACTGAAAATAGTCTTAAAATGGGTAAACACTACTTGTATTATGCGCTGCCATCAGACCAGCAAGACTCAAAGGCGGGATGATTGCATCAGAAACGCATAAAAGTAAGAAGTTTTCAAATTTGCAAATGTATAAGTAGACGATTGTAACAAAAGTTTTGAATGACTACTGGATTTCTATGCAATGTATTTATTATAATACACTGGTGAAACGTGAGATAACACGTTGAAAGTATTCCAAGAGGAGGTTTACGTGACTCGGTTCATATTTCAGACTTATCGTCTCGTTCATAAGACATGTCAATATACATACCTGAATCCGCATGAAAGCAAGTATTGTTCAGAAATCAATAACATATATTGATTATCAGGTATAAATAAAACCCAATCAATTTAGACTATTTTACACATGCTTGTAACTACATCGTCATATTGATCTTGTGCCCAGGTATGGTCTGTTTTACCTCACACGAATTCCTAATCAGCATAAACATAAACCTGTATCAAATAAACTATTGTGATCGATTTTACGCCCAAATTGCAATTGCGACAATTTTTGTGAATCGAAAATGACCCCAACGCAATATCAATACATAAACGGATCGTCGAGCTAACATTCCTGACAAAAGTAAAGTAATATTAATACGGATATTTATGTTCTACTTCTTTTATATTCAATTAGGCGCCTCAAGGGGCTTTCGTTTGGGCTATCAAATGCAGTAGGCACTAAATATTTTATGAAATATGTCAAGAAAATGTAAATTTAAATGATGGGGGGGGTTTACAAAACATAATTTTCTCATTTTTGCAGTTAATAAATGATTGATATTTATATGATATTCTATTTATAACAGAAAATTACACGATTTCCAAAGTGAGAAACACAAATTGTATTTTGTTGTTGTTGTTGTTGTGGTGCTTAACGCCATTTTTCAGCACACGATAGGCTATACATGGCGGCCAGTATTAATGGTGGAGGAAGAAACCGGGAAGTCACCGGAAAGAACCACCGACCCACGAGAAGCTACTGGCAAGCTTTCTCACATATCAACATTCGCCGAATCTTAGACTCGAACACACGCAGACAGCGGTGAGATGGCAGTGATCCGTAACGGACAGCGCTTTAGACCACTCGGCCACTCGGGGCCCCTCAAATTGTATTTGTATTCAGGTCATATGGTCTAATGTCATATTAAATATACATAAGGTATTTATACCTGATTGTAAACTTGTAACCACCATTTAATTATCCGAAACACTTTTGATTTGTTGTTGTTGTTGTTGTTGTTGTTGTTGTTGTTGTTGTGGGGTTTAACGCCATTTTTCAGCACAGGAAAGGCTATACATGGCGGCCAGTATTAATGGTGGAGGAAGAAACCGGGAAATCACCGGAAAGAACCATCGACCCACGAGAAGCTACTGGCAAGCTTTCTCACATATCAACATTCGCCGAATCTTAGACTCGAACACACGCAGACAGCGGTGAGATGGCAGTGATCCGTAACGGACAGCGCTTTAGACCACTCGGCCACTCGGGGCCCCTCAAATTGTATTTGTATTCAGGTCATATGGTCTAATGTCATATTAAATATACATAAGGTATTTATACCTGATTGTAAACTTGTAACCACCATTTAATTATCCGAAACACTTTTGATTTGTTGTTGTTGTTGTTGTTGTTGTTGTTGTTGTTGTTGTTGTGGGGTTTAACGCCATTTTTCATTTAATTTTATTTATCTATTTATGCATTTATCATTGCTAAGTCAACAACGTTAACTGGAGCTACTTTGCTTTACAGTCAAGGACGTAAAAGAGAAGAGAGTTGGAGAAACGGATTTAAGAATGTGAATACAATCCACTGTGAGAAACTTCAATTATATCAAGATACAATAACGCCTTTGTTAACCTCTAAAAGATTATCTAGATTTTGTTGATAATTACTTAAATAGTGATTTTCATATAATATTTGAACTTATTTCTAATATTTCAGAGAATTCAACAATTGCTTGTGAATTGAATTTCATGGTAATAACATTCATAAAGTAATTAAGCTTACAAATCGATCACACGCAGTGGTAGCAAAGCGTGTAATATATTGAATAACACACAAAAGGGCGCCTGAATACATCATTAATTCCTTTCTTGCCATACAAAGTAATAACTTATTGTTTTCTGTGTAGCACAATGCGACTTCAGCCAGTCTAATATTATTTACAAAGGCTTGTTTAAAGTTTGCAATTTTATGTTGGTAAAACTGCCAGACCCATAACCTAGATACATTCTTACTATTCTTGGACACTCCTTTTAGTAATAATAGGTAATCTGACCGTAAGAACAGAAAGGAAAACATACATGAGGTTCAAAAGTATAGACTATACCACTTCGAAGCACATTGGGAAAATTATTTACAATAATAGTTCTTATTAATAAACCTAATTATTGAGCTGATATGTATGGTGAATACATGGAAACTAAGTGTGGTTTTAAATCCGCTACGTATACTACTTGCAATATACATGTAATGCATAATTGATAACACTATATAAATAAGTGCGAAAATTGTATTGTACATTGATAGACATTACAAAAGCTATCAATGCAAAAAAAAATCATTTGTTTTATTGCATTTAGTCTGTGACCGCTCCAGTGACCTAATGGTTAGACCGTCCGCTTCGAATGTGGGAAGTCGTGGGTTCGATCCCCGGCTGAGTCATACCAAAAGCATAAAAATGGTACATACAGCTGCCTCGCATGAAGAGGTTAGTGTTAGGACTGGTCGGCCTGGTGTCAAGATAATATGACTGGATGGGGCATCATGCTACATCTGCCACACTGCATACATCGTAGCGATATGACAGAAAAATTGTTAGAAAGCTACGTTAAAAAGATCCAAATCACAAAACAAATCATTGTAATCTGTCAGACAGTTTTGCATGTATTACTAGTGTAGGGCATGGGAACGTTTATCGCTTGATTTGTTGATATTGGTAATAAACGTTTTGGAGGAATCGATATGTTGATGATCATATTTTTCATATGATTGTATGCAGATGCCATTGTGACCCTGGCCAATACCAAAACAGCTATGCAAATGATCACCTTTATACTATTGTATGCAGATGCCATTGTGACCCTGGCCAATACCAAAACAGCTATGCAAATGATCACCTTTATACTATTGTATGCTGATACCATAGTGATCACGAGCAATAGCAACACATACATATGCAAATTATCAGACCATTGTCATCAAATACAAAGATAGATTTGCAATTAGATCTAGATATTTTGTGCAGTTATTGTCAGATGTTATCTCTCAGCTGGTGTTGAAAACTCTAACATAATAGATTTTCATAAGAGCAGAAATTTTTGTACACCAAAAGCAAAGTTAATGATTCTTTATCGGTAGTTTACAAGTGTTTTGAAGCATAAAATTAAACAACATTCTGTTTATATTTCCTCATTTCTGGCCCGAGTAACATTAACACGCTCAAAGGCTACCGTAAACAAAGCTACAACTAGAATGTACATGTATATGTAATCCAAAATTAAGCAACACGTCCAAATTATAATTGTTAAATTGTGTCTGTATTTTAAAAATGAAGGCTAATTTTAATTAATATAAAGAAAGTGCGACAGAACAACTAATCTATTGTGGGATTTGCTCTTAGACATAAATATCAGTCTAGGGGATACATTATATGTCGCCCGTCTTGGCAGAGACTCAGGGGAGATAAATAAGTTAATACCTCAACAGGGACTTCCTTGTCTCGATGAAAACCCAAGCATATATTTTAGTAAATTTTATCATTGATCTTTAACAGACATGGCTACGAATCATTACCCATAAACATTGTACCTGTGTATAGATCTAGCCTTATTTATTGCTTTATAACACGCACGTAATTGAATTCTGATAATGTTGAGATTTTTCTTTCCAAATATTCCAAATTTTCAGTGACGTATATGTACTTCCCTTCTCAGTATATCTCTCGCGTAAATTCCAGGTACAAAGCCGATATACATATATGCGTCGCAGTTGACTCGGTAAAATTGCATCAGGTTTTATTGCAGAACATTAGAGTAGAAATGAAGGCGACCCAAGCACTGTGCCCGTTAAGAACATATGACAATTGAAAGGCCTATCTTTAGGATGGCAGTATACGGGAATTTCATACTCCAAGAGATACTCGGCTTAGGGACGTATGGAATTGTCTACAAGTGCAAAACAGTAGGCAGCAAAGATGGGGTACGTTTTGTTGTTTGTATAAATTCTTCTTTGTTCTGAATTCTTGTGAATCAGTCCAATGTAATGTTGAATATATTGAACATAAGGTTGCATGGAAGCTGCCACATCATGTCCTTTATAATTCATACTTTCTAAAAGGACTGTTTTTTAGTTTATTATGATTGTTTTAAAACGTGAAAACTGTGTTCCATCTGGCCTTTCAAGTGTATTTTATTGTTGCCATATCAAAGAATAAAAATCAACGTTCTTTACATAAAGATAACATTTGTTTGTTTGTTTTTTTTATTATTATATGGGATTTAGAGAAAAAAAAGCCGATATTGGGTGGAGGTGTTTATGGCGCAAGTGATATTCCTTAAAAAATATTCTTTTCCATTTGTCTCAAAGAGACAAATTCTCAAATGTCTCAAAGAGACAAATTCAGCGAGTATTTGATTTTTATATACGAATGGCCATTTATGCTATTCTGACGTGAGAATGAAGTTTTGAAATCTATTTCTTTCATTAAATGTTTAGTTCGTACTTGAATACTTTTTAATCACAAGTATAGAAGAATGACAAAAAAATTAAATAAGATCGGCTACCCAAACTTTCTAGGCATGCATTGCCGTAGCCATGACATGTTGTCCTCTGTTTGAAAGCCTTTATTGGTTAATGTGTCGCACTGTTGGAAATCACAACTCTGTCTGTGTGTGTGTGTGTGTGTGTGTGTGTGTGTGTGTGTGTGTGTGTGTGTGACATGATTATATCAATACGGGCTTAACACTTACAATGTTTTGAATGCTTAGCGAGAAAAGTTATTTTTGGCAGCTTGGAATACCAGTAATGAGATAGGACGATAAAACAACTTCTATTCCACTATTATTTCCGATATTTCTAGCTTTAAGAAAAAAGAATTATATTCATTGTTACTGGTAAATACTAAAAAAAAAAACAATATTATCAACATAGTGTAAATTCTGGTTTGGATGTTGCTGTGTATACAAGAAAAGAACTATTAACTACACTAAGCTTTTATTTCCTTTACTGAAAATGAACACATCGGGTATTACAAAGATTAGATTTACCGATACCTTTTAAATCATATTAGGTCCCTGCAAATCAAGTATATATATATATATATATATATATATATATATATATATATATATATATATATATATATATATATATATATATATATATATATATATATATATATATATATATATATATATATATATATATATAAACAATACTATCATACAGGTTAGAGAAATTAAATTCGTACTCTACGGAGTTTCGAACCCAGGTCCACGAGTAAATATATATAATTGGAATTCCATGAGGGATTAACCACAAATAGTTCTAAATATAGCTGTTGACCTAGTTGTGGAACAGCGCATTTCTATATTGGTATTCCTGAATAAAGCACACGAGGAGAGCTGAAGGTAGAAAATCAATACCAGTGTTATGATGAATAAATCTCAAGACGATTGACTGCTGTACCCGGATATTTACACCATCCATTTATTTCCGCTTTATCAACTTGAAGGACTCGGAAGATGGCACAAACGCTACGTAAATCCCATATAATAATAATAATAATAATAATAATAATAATAATAATAATAATAATAATAATAATAATAATAATAATAATAATAATAAAAACCAAACAAACAAATGTTATCTTTATGTAAAGACAGTTTTGTCGGAGCAATTAAAGCGGTCGGTGGTCGTAAATATAAAGACATCAACTATGATATGAATGCATGGATAGATGTATACATGCATGTATGTGTATGTGGATTTGGTGGGGTGGTGGGTAAACGGCTCAGGTGAACTTAAAATGATTACATACGAAATTATCTAGCTAATAGGAAATGATAATCATGGTTGCGTTTATCAAACTCGTATACACGTTTCTGATAACACATACAGTTTTCGAACTTTTGTAAAGTGGTTTGCGCTAAATAATGGAAGCGTTAACTCCTTAACTCTTTGTTCACAGTCTTTGATGAATGCTCAAAAGTGTACTTCTAGATGTCAAACTTTTAATGTTCTTGAAAATTTGAGGCATTGAAGTTACCAGCCACAGACTGAAAATCTGCAAGTGACTTTAAAATGCTGGATGGAAAGAAATGCAGATGAAAAATAAATAGAAAATTTAATGAATCAAGATTTTTGTCCCGTTCTGTCCCATTTCTGTCTTATATAATCTATTGTTTTTCTGAACAAAATTAGACAGAGGTATGCTTGTTTTGTTTATCTCGTTAAATAAGTAAACATAAAATTTATATTCTTGGCTTTACAGAAGACGTTCGCGATCAAGCTAATCAAAGTAAACGGGCTGGTATCGAAAGAGAAAGAGAACTTAAGAAGAGAGTTGAATCTATTGAAAAAGGTTAAACATGAAAATATCGTCGAGCTGATCGACTGTTTCCTTAGCGATGACCAACGCCAAATGTGTATTGTAATGGAGTTTTGTGCTGGGGGCACTTTGAAACAGTACGTGGACAGAAAGAAAGGACACATAAAAGAGGATACGTGTCTGCACATCCTACGGCAAATGTGTGAGGCAGTGAAGGTTAGACTCTTTTCGCACTATTTTTTGCAACAATAAATTAAATAAACAAATAAATAAACAAAAGCATGTGCTGAATTTATATCTTTGTTCTTCATTTGCATTACAATTGCAAGGGTGTGATACTAAAGCTGCAGTATGATAACTAAAAAAAACCAGAAATGTTCCATGATTGGTGAATTAATGTGATTCGAACAAACTGTAAAATCGTGTCGATCTACATGTATATGTGTGTAAATATTTCTATATTTGATTTCTTTTCTTCAGTTTTTATTTCTAGGGGCCATCATTCATAGAGATATAAAGACAACGAACGTGCTTTTAACCCATGACAAAACTGTGAAACTTGCTGATTTTGGGGTTGCTAAGTATGTTTCTGCTTTTACATTATTTTGTTTATTACTGATGTATTTATCTTTCTTTTCCACAAATTTTGCTAATTCATCATTTTTATTTTCACCCTTGATAGATTTATATATCATTAATGAGACTAACAAGAAGCTGAAAATAAAATATAATTTGTCACATAAATCTGAGATATGTGTGTGTGTGTGTGTGTGTGTATATATATATATATATATATATATATATATATATATATATATATATATATATATATATATATATATATATATATATATATATAGATAGATAGATAGATAGATAGATAGATAGATAGATAGATAGATAGATAGATAGATAGATAGATAGACAGACAGACAGACATATCATCAGAACAAAAAAGAATCGACAATAGCCAGATAAATGTGCCAGTACAAAATTTTACAATACGCTTAGAGTGAAAACAATGAACAAGATGTCGATAAGTAGACCTCTAAAATTCAACTCAGTGTTGTTAGTTATTTATTTCCAAATGACATAAGGCACAGTTTTGCAT